TAGACTCTCCAAAAATTGAAGGACAACATTCAGATAGACATCAAAGTACTAGAGCCTGAAACACTGTTATGGAAAATGCTTTAGAAAGGACTCTTTTGTGTGAAACTGAAAATAGACAGCACTTAAAAGATATAATCTTTCTCAACAAGTGTAAATTTATTTCCCATCATCTACTCTATATAATACAATCATATTATGAATTAAAGTTAAAAAATAAAGGAGTTATTTAATTTTAAAATCCATTGGTGACTTTTGGGTCATCCTCTGTGTGTGTGTGTGTATATATATATCTCAATCCATCCAAAGAAGTTTATTAAACTCCACTGACAAGGTTTATCTATTCAAATTCTTATATCATTCCAATTTTTTGAATGAGTTGCTGTACAATGGGAAATTGAAGTGATGAAAAAAATTGTCCAAAGTTCAATTTTTTTCATTTCTTTTTGTTATCTTGAAGTACTTTTATCTATCACAATCATTGTCAAGAACTGTGTGTTGTCAGTATAGTAAACAAGATTTATCTAAACTGGGATTTTAAGATTGGTGGAATTAGAATCATTTCAAAATGATGTCATATATTAGTCAAACAGAAAAGCATGTATTCCAGCAATCTAAAAATGCCTGAATTTAGTAGAAAAATCTTGCTTACTATACTGACAACACTCAGTTCTTCATGATGGCTGTAACAGTTGAAAGTACTAGAATATAAGAAAAAAAAAATTGAACTCTGGACAATTTATTTATAATTTCAATCCCAATGTACAACACCTCGTTCAAAAATTGGAAAGATATAAATTGAATAGATAGACCTTGCTTGTGGAATTTAAAAGCTTTTTTTTTTTTTTTCAATTGATATGTTTGGGACAAATTGTTTTGTAAGAATTGACAAATTATTGTTTTGATCTGGTAGTGTCAGATATTCAATCATTGGTAAGATCAAATGTTCTTTAATTTCAGTTAAGAATATTGAATCCTGCTTAAATTCAAATATTCTACAGCTATTAAATTAAATTTTGCAAAACAGTTTTTAATATCAGTAGTTTGTGCTACAAAAACCAATTTAGTCTCCCCCCCACTGTCTCTTAGAATCCAGTATTAACCCATTGACTTCTGCAAACATTTCCATCAGTCATAGGTGGATTCTAGAACCATGATGATATACATTTCCATCAATTGTAATTAATAGGTTATTTCCTCAATTTCCTGTCTACTGCTTTATCACCAAGTCAAAATTGTTTGCTTATTGTTGATTGCAGGATTTTGTGAGTCAAGAGTCCAAATAATTTAGAAAGGAAACTGAGAATAACTCAAAACAAATGTCAACTAATTTTAAAGAAAACGTTTTGTCTGATAAAAAAAGATCAGAACAAAATCAATCACTGAACTTTTCGCATGTAACATTTGCTTACAAAAACATCCCCAACAACTTTTGCCCTTTCATAATTTTCAAAACATGACAGTAACCTAACTGAGAAACAATGGCCATTGTCTGTAAGCACCTGCATATCACTGATGGTAAACTAATACAGGTAATAAACCAGCAATTGGCTTTCATTTCAAACCATCAACCAATGTAGTCAATTTTTTTCTTTTTTTTTTAAATTTTTTATTCTTGCTGGCTGCAACATTTGCTTGCCTTGTGATTATCAATGCTGCTACATTTCAAAACCTGTTTACTTGTAAATATATAATTTATAGAAAGGAAGATTTATTCTTTTTTTCTCCCCCTAACTTTGCTCCAGTTTCAGAGTAGAAATCCACATCAGCATTGGATTAAGAGATAAAATACCTATCAGTAAAATTAACAGGTTATATATATATATATATATATATATATATATATATATATAAAATGACAATCTTCTCACATGAGAAATATATAGAAAAACAACAATAATTTGAATAGAACTCAGATGCTTTTTATGTAAATTATATCAATGAATTCATCATTACAAATTTGATAAAATACAATATTTTTCTTTCTTTCTTTGACTGATCTCTGAAATTTTATTCACTAATTATTTTTTTTATCTTCTCTCTCAATAGGAGTAGATATGTTTACCTATTGTCCAGTTCATGTTCATCCCCAATTAATATAACAGGAGTAGAGGTTTATCCCTTGTTTCCTGTTTAAGATTGGGTTTCCAGCTCCCTCTAAAGTCTACTTCAACATTATACTTCTAACATCTCTAACTGAACTCTGAAATGTTATTCACTACTTAAGTATTGACCTCTTCAAGTTTAGAATTAGCCGTTATCTTTCCTGCATAGCCCCAAGAACTAATACAACACCACACAGTAACCCTCTACCTTGAGTGGCTCTTTGGCTTTGTATGACCATTAGTTTAAAAAAAAAAAAAAAAAAAAGCCAAGTGTAAAGGAAATGAAAAAAGACAATAGATGAGTATATACAGCCTCTCCTCATTTAACCCCCATCTTAGATTTATAATCATTTAACAACATCTCTCCTAGGCTTACAATCAGCTCTAAAATCTTGTAAAATAAAAATCCAATCAGTCAGTATTGTACAAAAACTTTGATGTTTTGTTTTTTTTTCTTCTTCAAAATAGGAATTTAATTGGACTGTATTTATAATATACAGACCGAATAATATACAGAATTTTGAGTAGATTTGCTTACATTTACTGTTCAGTACACTACTATATAAACATTGAGAATAGTAAAAGTGACATTAAAGCAATCTGAAACTAGTTGGTACAAGCTGTGGCATAGTGTTAGTGGTGCCAGAGGAGGAGATTGCCCTAGGCACTAAATTTTTAGAGATGCAAAAAAATTAGGTTTAGAAAATACGTATGAAACTAGAATTTATAACCTCATGACTAAGGAAGAGGTGCAATATTTTAAATTGCACTTGTTTTTTAAAACCCACCCCACACAACTGGGTGCAAACCTGTTAGATTTTGTACTTAAAATAGTGGCTGGATAGTTCTCTTAGCAACCGGGTTGTTGGAGTGGAACCTGTTAGTTGATATATTATCAAATGTAATGGGGAAAAGAAAAAAAAAAAAAACTACCTTTGTGTTTTATTAACTCAATTAATTTCACTGGCATTTAGGTTTAAGGCACAAAGTTCTCCATGTGGAACAATAACTGAGTGGATTAAAACATTGGTTCATGAATTTGGGGACAGTGTGTGTTCAATCCCTGAGCTGAGCAGTGCTAACTTGGACTCAGTGGAAACTGGGCTAGCAATATTAAGAGGGTTTGGTTTGAAATTCTCTGAAGGTTGCTTGCATTAACATCCACCTGATGAAATGTTATGATAATGAGGACAATAGTTTTCATGTAAATAATAACTCATCTAAAAATTGACAAATTAAAAAAATATTTACTTAGCATTTTTTAAGGCTTTCTGACTAATCACGTGTCAAAATGTGATTATCTCCCTTGGCTCACAGAAAATGGGTTTATTTTAAACACCAACTTGTGGCACAAAGATCTTAAAGTTTAAAAATCTTGTGCTCATAGGTAAAGCTGCCAATCAACTTAAGCAAAAGTAGGGGTGAGGTTGGGGGATTTACTTGGTTGTGTAATTTATCCCCTGGATAAAATCTTGCTGTGTCCTTCCATCTATTCCTGCATGGTTTCATTTATTACAACTAATTAACATTTTTAATTTTTTTTTTCCCAGCAATTTATGTCAATCTTTTTTCAGATTTAATCAATAACATTTTTTCCTCCTAATCCTACATCACTTAATTCACTGGCTACCTAAAACCTCTTTGGGGGAGTTTACAGGTGGATCATCCTCACCCTATTATAGAGTTTAGAGATGTCTTTATCATATGCTTAAGGAGAACACCTGTAAAGCTATTGTCTTATATTCTACTAGTGAGTGCAAGTTTTAATGGGAACTCCAGTGTTTGGGTCTTGTTTTTGATTAGGTTAACTTGAGTATCTTTTTAGCATAATACTGGGTCAGTTCTCTTCAGTTACTACAGCAAAGAACATTGAACCTTCTGTGGATGAAATAATTAAGACAACATAAGAACCTTAAAAGATGGGCTCCTGTGGTGTTGGATGTAAGTTCAAGTCTTATTGGAAGCTATTTATTTATTTCCAATTCCACACTTTACTTTAGTAGTTAAAGAATGTACTGACTCAAGGTGTTGTGATAAAAATCAACAATAAGATGAGATAAAATTTGTAATAAAACAATGTTTCATTTATCTTAAAAAAAAAAAAAAGGTGTGTGACCTATATTTGCCAATAATTAAGATATAATTTACAAATATCTGTAAATAATTCCCTGCATCCAGTCTGATTTTATGATGACAGGGAGGCTGAGAACTACAATCAAAGGTTGAAATGAACTAAACCTTTTTGTGTCTTATAGACTAGTAAAGTGGTTAATTCTCGATTTTGTTTTGTGGATGAACAGAACATTCATATTGCATGTTTATTTCAAGGTTGGTTTTATTGTGATGCTAACTTTTTATTTATATTTAGTAAGCAAATTGAATATGACTAACAGTCATTTGATTGGTCCACTGACATCATGTGTCAATGTCCAAGAGGACATTAAAATATAACAACGTTTAACAGCCATACTCACCAAAAATGGTGTGTTAAAAGTACATTTTTTTTCTTTTGACACTGCCATTACTGTCTACTTTGGTAATTTTTATTGTTTTAAAAAAATACTTTTAGAATTTTAATCAAATCTAAACTGAATTTATACATATATTTACTTTTTTCACAGGAATTAACAAAAAAAATATTAAAAACTATTTATTAGATTGTTTATTTAAAGAATAATTTAATATTTATGAGATTATAAAAATGTGAACCAACTGCAGTGAAAATATTTTTTATTCATAAATTTATAATAATGCCAGTGAACTGCAGAACAAGAAAATTTAAATAAATACATGACAAGTAACTAATTATAAATTCTGAAAAATATGCATCTTCCAGACATTATGCAATTTGTTCTCAGATTATTTTATATCTCACATTACTTCTTTTAATTTTTCAAGCGGAGGGGGTCATCTATCTATCTATCTATCTATCTATCTATCTATCTATTATACATTCATCATAAAATGGGAAATTACTTTTATTTTTTCTTGTTCATTTTTATAAATTTATCTAAAAAAATTTTATTTTTTAAATTTTTATAAATTTATGAAAAAAAAATTGTTTTGTAATTGATACACACTTTTATGATCTGGTAAATATAAAATTATTCTTTAAATAAACAATCAGATAAAATAGTGTCTAATATTCTCAAGAAAAAAGAGAATGCATAAATCCTATATTTCATACATTTGGGTTTTATTAAAAATTCTGAAAATATCTTTTTAAAACAATGAAAATGTCTGGAATATACAGTAATGGTAATGCCAAGAGAAAAAATTGAAAGACTTCTTTTTTTTTTTTTTTTGTTGCAAATGTGGTTAACTTCATCAAAAATATAATTTGAATAAATCCCCAACACACTTTTTTTTTTTTTCTTGTTCTCTATTCAAAAGTTGTAAGCACATACAATTTAATTTTGAACTCTGAAAAGAAGATTAGAAAACAATTTCTTCAGTTGTCTTAGACAATTTGGTTGAAGCCACTGTATTGACAGATTTCAAATCCTTTGCCCAAAGCTGTTCACAAATCATAGACAGAATGGTATCACATCTGGGTTGTGATTCTGCACCTTGTCTGCCACTGTTTGATAAGTTTTGTAGTTTAAAGATTGGAATATGCCATTGCTGCTCAAAGGCCTGCATGTCAGATTGTGTGATTTCACTTTGATCAAATTGGTCAAATATGTTTTGAATTAAGGAACAAATAGCAAAATGTTTTAGTGGAACTAAATCTCTTCAGTAATATTTATCACAACATTACTACATTTTGGGAAATTATGATATACAAGTTTCTTTATATTATCAGAACAATATTAGGTTATGTTAGAATTTTTTTCACTTTGTCATTCTGTGTAACACGTTTTATCCTATGTCCACTACAATGGACATAGAATAAAGGACAAAATGCATTACAGAGAATTTTCTCCACTGTCATTCCAATTTCCTATAGATTATGTTATTAATCTATTTGGAATAGTGCCCTCATTTTGGCCATGAGACATTTGATAAGGCATTATCATATTCACTTGAGGGATTTCAATGGCAGCAACAACTAAAATGAATATCACATGTAACTCGAAGAGGAAATTGACATAAGATATTAACATTCCACACTTCTTCAAATAAAAGTTTAGGAAGGAAACCCCATCAATACTGGAAAGAGTGATAACAGCTACTGAACATGAGAAACCTATTTTCCTGAAAAATTGTTTCAAGAGAAAGATTTTAGTAATTTCAACCAATGGTAGCACAAGCTGCTCAGTCAATGAATGCCAACTGCTTCCTTATAAGGAAACAGCTAATATTGCCATCACTATTTTGAACTTTTATTTAGTCTGGGGTCGGGTGGGGGTGGATTGTTCTTATTCTGCTGCTCATATTAAGAAATATTTATATCACCCCTTTTCCATAAGCTGTTACATCTGTGTAGACAATTCATACACTAAATACAACAATTATACAACTTCTTTCTTCTTTTATGGGTTGTGTCATGGCTCTCCACAACTTCCCGTCTCTTGTTGCTCTAAGCAATATCTGACCCTTTACCATCTCTTTTAGGCTTTGCTCATTCACCCGAGGTAGGTTACTTGCTATTTTCCTCTGCAACTCTTTCCTTCAATAAATTGTATTTATGAATCTTTTATTGATCATTAAATAGTCTATTATACAGGGTGCGGCAGAAATACCTCCCACATAATGCTAAGACATTAATAGTAATAATGTTTTCATCTAATGTCTTACCATTATGTTTCTGCCACACCCTGTTCAACTAGTAGTATCAATTAATCCAACCTTCTGATGCTGCTTTTCCTCCTGAGTGAAATTTTGGAGGGTCTTTTTGTTTTGTTCTTTTTAAGGACATTAGAAATCATTCTTTGGTTTCAAAAAATGAAAGCAACACCACAAGGAAGAATTAGCAGATAAGATAAGATACCAACTATCATGGACAATAGAATAATACCCCCATTGATTATATAAAGGGTTTTATTTTGTTTTGTTTTGTTTTTAATCATTTCACCCTAAGCAAGGTGATAAAGCCACTAAGATGCGAAGGGTTACTGAGTGAAGAATATGAGAAAAAGAAAAACATGATTAAGGAGACAAGATAACAATTGATATTGCATTTAAATTTTTGAAGATCAAAGTTGACTGGAAAGCAAGAAGCCAGAAGGGAGTTTCCATAAGTGAGGGGTGGGAAGAGAAGAAACTGTTAGTATAGAACTTAGTTACATCTTGCCAATACAACTGTAAAGACCTGGCACCATAGAAAGTTCATCAGAACAATGACTATGAAAGTATTTATAGAAAAGACACAGGGAAACTACATGATGGTGATGGGAAAGTGACTGAATCCGAAATACAATTTATAATAGTTTACTGAATTTAAGAGATACATAAAGAAGACTGGAGTGTATAACAGAGGAAATATGACTATATCAAGATGAGGATTGATGATGATGATGATACATCATCTCAAATTCAGACAGAAATTACATTAAATATCCACTGGAAAAAAAGGGCAGGTTGAATTTTCACTTTTTTTAGAAAATCAACACTGCACTTGGCATGAAAGCTGGGGTTTCATGTGATAAGTACTAAAAATTAGATTCATGGTTTTTATCAATTTTTGAGCATTTTAGTTTTAAAGATCGTCTGAAAAAATGTACAGAAATACCTAATTTCCGCAGGTTTTTGCCTACAAACTGACTTCAAAATTTTACTATTTCAAGAATAAATGCAAATAAAGTTGATATCTTTGTATTAGACGCATTAAATGGAAAATATATTCAAACCAGAATTCTAATTATTAATCATCACAAGCAAAATATGCAATTTTTTTACTCTATTTGATAAGTAAAAACTGTAAAAAAAAAAAATTGTAAAAAATTACAAAAAGGCTACTCAATAAATAAGATTTTACACCATTTGTTAGTTCATATTAATAAAAACAAAATATAGATAAAAGTTTATATAACACCATAATATTGCTGGGCACAAATTAGAAAACAAAATGTTTTAAATTTGCATTGTTTATTGAAAATCACACTAAAACTACTTCACTGTATCATCATAATATATCACAATATAACTAAATTGTTTTATAATATAATTTCCCTTTGAAGTAAATGAAGGTATTATTTGATGGCATAATGATTTAGTAATAATATGCTTGTGTCATGCATTTTGTTTATATACAATTTGTAAAGCTTCAGTAAATTATAAATTTTATAAGGCTGTGCTATAAGGCTTTCATTGATCACTGGAATGAAATTCCAATGCTACAATTTTGAACCTAAACCTAATATTTAAACTGGTTTTCTCAAAAAATGCAAACAATTTGAAAAAAAAAAATATTTTGTATCATTTATCAGGTCAAACCCAGCTTTCAAATCGAGTGCAATATCATGGTTCCAAAATCGACCTGCCCTACTGGAACAAGTGACATAACAAGAACGAATTATCTCCCCTAGCATAAACAGTACAAGGAACAAGTGTTTGTTTTCAAGTTTTCAGGTGACCAACTACAACAAGCACTGGACAAGGAGTACAGTAGCTGAAACATTGTGATTATAACAACCAACATGAGGATATAAATCAATAAATAACTACAATAGTCACTGTATAGTAAGTAAAATCTCTGATATGTGTATTTGTAAAATTCCTTACATTATATCATGGCTATCATTAATAATTACCATCAATACTTTTCTAAAATTTTAACCCCTTCCATGTATATATGTTTTTATCAAAAGTCATTTTCAGACATGGACAAATAAACATGCCCAAAACATAACATTCAAAAACCAGCTGCAGACATGTTTATACGTCAATCTTGATTCTTTTTATTCCCTTCTGAGCTTGAAACAAGTCCAATTTCTTCATCTTCCTGAAGCAGTCTGGAAAGACTTCTTCCATTTGATGACTATTGCGTTATGGAATGCTTACATCCTGTATAACAAATAAAAAAATTTGTCTGAAAATGAAACATTTTCCCCCCAAATAACTGGCAGGGAAGGGGTTAATAGTCGAACAATCTGGAGGCATAGCAGTTTTTTTTTTTTTTTTTTTTTTTTCATTTGTGATTTCTTTTTAATGACACTATTCTAGATTGTGTACTCTCAGACTTCCTTTAGGTGCATGACCATTGCTTCTACCCAAAGTTAAAAAGGTAGCCAAATAACAGTGGCAATTCCTAATATAACTGCACTCTTATCCACTTTGACATTCCAGTTATTAATCTTTGTCAAGGCATCATTTGATGAGACAGAGTACAAAGATAATCTAAGCTTTTACCAATGAACATTAGTGTAATGTGAACACATACAGCTTTGAGTGGAATTCCAATTTGCCAAGTGTTATCTCATCACATGGCCTTATAAATAATGATAAAAGGATACTTTGTTCCAATTGCAATTTTACAAACGTTGTCGTTTGGTTCTGTAAGTCGACTGATTAAATGAGGCAACTCATCAAAGCTGGATTTGTCAAGAAGAGAGAAAACAAGGAGAATACAATCAACATTTTCTTTCAAGGCCTACAAAACAAAACAAAAAAAGAATAAATGTTTCTAATTGTTATACAGATAAAGATTCTAACTGATATAAAAAGAAATATTTGTTTTAAAAGACTTTCTTCTTATTTTTAAATGCTTTATTCATAAAGAAAAAGAAGGTCAAGATCCATAAACTTTTAATTTAATAAGTTTTTAGAGACTGCCTTATATCTTCTTCTTATGTTCAGAAGTCCGTCTATATAATAGAATAATTGGATATGAAAATTAACTTGAATAGGGCCCATATTTCATCTGGAAAAAACATGATGGAAAACATCCACTTATAAGCTGGCAATAAATAGAAATTTATAAATTGTTTAAAGTGGCCAAAGCTTTTGTACAGTACTGACACAGATCACATATATTTCTATAGTTTTTGTCTGTAACTTTTTGCTGTAATAAAACAAAGAGATATTTAAATTAACAAGTGAACCCTGCCCTGATTTAAATCTCCAACCTAAAAGTAACCAAGTAAATGACATATCAACATTGCCAGCATTCGTCTGCTTGGACTGCTTGATAAAATTAACATGCAAATACTTTTTAGTACCAAATACATGATTAAATTATTTCTTTCAATTCCCCACCCGCTCCACTATGGGCATTGGGGTTATTTGGTACATCACATTTATTATTTTTCAAATAATTTTCTGCATGGCACAATTTTGTTTTGTTTGTTAAACTGATATTAAAATTCCTTGCAGAATATTTATTTGAATAGATAAGCTTATTTTGTAACTTGAAAAATTCCCACCGACATGACTATTCCAGACAACACTTATGGTACAAAAGAGCACTAAGTTAAGCAAAGCAAACCAATGTTACAATGATCCTAGACAGAAATGTTGATCCCTGCATAGATAATTCCTTCATCTTTTTTTTTATGGGTGATGTATATATATTTATATATTTAAAAATTCTGTTCTAATAATAGTAAGGGTGTAACGAAATCTGCCATCATTTTTGATGGTATAAGTAGATCAATAAAATTATATTGCTGCTAAATTTCAGCAGGTTGGTGAAAGGACATTAGAGGGGAAAGAAATCCTAAAAACTTACAGGTAAAATATGATCAAATTTCCGCATGGCAGTTGTTCCACTTTCCCATAAGCATAAATGAAACAACATGACTTTGTTGAGTTGACGAATTCGAGCTGGCCAATAAGTCTGCCACACTTGAATTCCTGCAAAAGCAAAGAAAGTAAAACACAAAAAATATACTTAAATCCTTGGTACATGATACCTAAAAGAGAAAACAACAACAACTGCTAATGATTGCCAAGAGATCATTTTATATATATATATATATATATATATATATATATATATATATAATGTATAAAATGTGAAAGTGAACACTGAGGTTAACAAAGTGCTAACAGTCTGTTTCATGCTTGAGCATGATCTTCTGACCATGTGTTTTGGCTTGTCTATTTATATATGCTGGTCAGTAGTGCATTATGAGCAGAAAAGTCTGTTGTATTATTGTTATGGTCCGGTTCCTTGTACCACGGTGATAGTCCAAGGTAGAATCAATAAAGAAGAACTCGACCACAGGTATGGAATAACAGATATATTACAAACAGGAATATATACAGAGGAGTAGAAGTGTTAGTCTGAACAATCAGGTTTAGTAGAGAGAACAATGTAGTCTTGACCAGTATCACTATTCCAATGTCTTGCAGTAATTGTCTGAACGCGACTCTGTTTCGGACTGCCTCTGACTCGACTCTTGACTGACTCCTTGCCTACTCGTGAGGTGCAGTATTTATTAAGTATGGAATAGTCCATTATTATTATTATGGGTAAGATCCCATAACAATTATCCTAACGGTTATTTGGCAGTTGGAAATGGTTATATTTCAAATTATTCTCATGTCTAGAGTAGTAATAATTGTGGATCCAACTATAGCTATTTGTAGCTATTTTATAGTGTTTTTTCTTAAACTTTTACTCTTTATTATTGTTTACTTAATTATTTATTGTTGATTATTATCATTAAATTTACTTGTGCTTATGTGTGCATTTGTAGTTTGTTAATTTGTATATTATTTATTTTGATTTTTTGTTTATTTGTTATTTTTTTTATTATTAGTTTTTATTTTCAGGAGTTGGTTACCTTATTTATTTACTTTAAAATATTCGCTTTGTCTAAAAAGTATGTTGCATTATCTGTGTTGTATATAATGCATATATTTGCATTTTTCATGGTGATATTTTACAAAGTATTCATTTTTAGTTTTTGATTTTTAAGTAACATAGTAAAAATTTATTTTCATGCTTACATTTTGAGATAAGTTCTGATCATTTATTTAGTAATTTGTGTTGGTCTGGAAACATGATTATAGCTATTTTTCCTCTTACAGTTTTTGGATTTATTGTTGTAGGCTGATGCTGTTTTCCTTATTTTCCATGATATTTTTGGTGTATTTTGTTTTTAATTTCCCATACATGTTTAGAAAGAGCTGTGCTGTTTGTGTATTTACTATTTGTAAAGGATATTTTGTGTGCATAGCTCCAGGGTCCTTCAGTTACTTGTAAGTGAAATTGGGTAGATGGAACCCTTGGGTGTCATCAATAGCTGTACTAGCACAAAGTCACAAGTCATTGTGGCCGAGGGCTTGAACGTGCTAGCCTTGTTCAAATTGTCGATCACGCTAGATAACACGCTCTTTCCCAGAAACTGTAACTAAAGTCTGCTCAGCATACTTGCAGTATAAAACACAGGTGGGCTCTGTGGGTGTTAAATAAACACAAATGTGTCTGAGAAAGCGTCTGCAATAGGGATTGTCTAGCCACCCTAGTAAATGGGTATCCTCGAATACAAGTGGCCAGCTATATATATCTAAAATGCTAAAAAAATCAATATTTTCTGATTCTGATGCTTTAGGTAGAGTAAGGTCTAATGAATGCTAATCAAAAAAATTATTCAAAAAAGATTTTCCCCTATTATTTTTTTTCAAATAAACCAGAGTTACTGATAGGAAAACAATCTATTCTTATGGATTGAATAAAAGGTTTGGTACCAAATTTTTGGAATGAAATGTGTTAGTCACCTGAAGAAAGCAGGTCGGTACAAATATTGGAATGATGTGACTATAACAAACAAGATAAAGATATTAAAAAAATTAAGTAATTTTTAATAAAACTTTCACCTGGTGTTTCGTAATAGTTCTCCATTGGTGAGTATCCAGTAAGGTTGGCTGCAGTAGCTGTTTTACCAACACCATTTTTACCAACAAGCATGATCTTATACTGCACCTCTTCTGTGGTCACCATAGGAGGAAGATGTGGATGTTCAAGTAAACCTTTAAAAAAGAAAAAAACAAAAATAGAATACAGAAACAAATGATTAAATGATTAAATAAAAGAGAAATTTATATCAGACATACTGGAAATGAAATAACTTACATGTTCTCAACATAAACCTTTATTAAAAAATAAAGCTCAACATTGTTCTTCAACTGCAATCAATTGTTAATTTAATCTTTTCTTTAACTTAAGATTTACTTTTCATTTCTCTGTATAGTTTTTTCAGATATTGTTTTAAATAACACTTTTTTTTTTTTTTGAGACTTCATTTCTCCATGTAATAGGTTATTTCTCTATGTATAATTTCATCTTCAGATTTAGTTTTCACTTTGCCATGTAAAGTTTTTATCTCAGCTGACATGTCTTAGTTTCAAGTGTTTCTTGTCAACTCTCCTCTGGCATAATGAATTTATAGGGTTATCTCACTGTGGAGTAGTGTTTAGCAAGCTTATTAAGCAGACAATTGTGTAGTGAGTTCAATCTCCAGTGAGTGCTCTACACGCATAGCCTTGTGCCAGACTAAGTTTGTTCGACACCCAAATGCTTGTCATTGTACAATTTGAGTAATGAGTTCACACTAGTTACCCCACTTTGGCCTTGTGTCAGATTAAATGAAGCTTACTAAATTTATAAGTATCTACTATAGGATAATGGTTAAGAAGCTAGTTAACTTGCAGAGTAATTCATATGATTAGTAACTTTGCTTTTCTCTGTGTACATCATCATTGTAAACTTATGCTATAATAGGCTACTTAGTAAATAAATATAGGACTATTTCAAGTTGATGCAGCTGATATATTTTTATATTGATGTCTGAAAAATAAGTCTTGTTGATAAAGGTCTATTACAACCAACAAATATAGCAACTTTTTAAAACTAAATATTCACCCAATACAAGGCCCAAGAGCCACTAAAGGTAGATGGTTACTAAATGAAGTTGTTTTATGAATTTAGGAAAGGGAAGGTGGAAGTAAGTGCAGTTTATGAGGATATGTACAATAGGAAACAGTTGACCCTAGACTTGAAGAGGTGAAGATTTTAGTGTTTGAGGAAGCATTATTTTGGGAGTCTGTTCCATAAAGTGGTGGCTCTTGTGAAGAAGCTATCAAAATGGAACTTCCTCCTTACCAATGGAATACAAAGGGAATTAGGATGGTCTGTCCCTGTGTATATAGCATGGCAAGTCTTAGCTGTAAAGGTCTGAGCTGGTGGAACTAAAGGAATGTAGCTTGCAGAACATTTTCCATGGAAAAAGTGAGAGAGTAGCAAGAGGCTTGTGGCATTGTGTCTTTTGGAGAGGGGGTTGCTTTTTTGTATTATTTAGATAAAACTACCAAAAGGTTTAGCAGTGTCTGATTAGTAAAGACAACCACAGTAAATATGAAGAAGAATAAAAAAAAAAAGTCATGGGCAAATTCCTGTGCTGTGTTACAAACAATACAAAGATCAATTTGGATTTCACACCCATGCAAAGACACTTTCTTTGTAAGCAGTGCTAATATAATCAGCAGTGCCTACAACATTCTAATAAAACAAATGTCTAATGAGCAAAGTTTTTATTAAATGCATCTGATTTCTCAATTTGTCTTAAAAATGCCATGTTCCTTAAAGGATGTAGGGGATCATGGCTTTCTACAACCACTCTAAAATGGATTTTTAATATCTGTAAACTATGCACTGCCATGATTGTTCATGGTGAAAAATAATGGAGTGGATTCTCATTACCTTCTGTATAGCTTTAAACCCAGAGTTGGTCTTCTCATTGACTGGTTACCAAGCAAGGTTAGAGACACCAATCTGTCCCTGCTATTTAATCTATAGCTGGATTCCTGCTTTTCTCAAAGGTATTAATATGAAATGAACACAAACTGCCTGAGCTGGAATTTGAACTTGGCTTGCCAATTTTACTTTCTGTACTGTTTACCCTTATGCCACATTGACTCTAAAAATGCCTTTTTCAATTTCATATCATAGATCCCTTTAATGGATCATAGATCCCATAATAGGCAATTGAAAAAAAGTCAGAAATTTCAACTTGCAGATTATTGTTAATGCACTGAGTTGGATCCACACTAGGTGCCTTACTTATCACTCTGCATCAAACTAAGCTGCATTTAATATGCTGTTTGATTTATTTTTTTACAGTTTATCAACCCATTGTGGGTTATTTAAAGCCATAACATATTTTTAACTGTAAAAATATTGTTTTTGTTTTAATGAATATTGCATTAACAATTTTTGGAGAATAACATTAATTTTTCCAGATACAAATCCTACTATTTAATTCATAACTGTGGGGAGGACTTGGTTTCATTCCTTTCTCAAAGATATTTGTGAATGTAACAAACCTGACTGAAATTCAAACTTGGCTAATTTCTCATTCCAAGCCACTATCCCTTACACTACCCACACATCCACAATGGAGTTTAATAAGTATCCCCCCCCCATTCTATTCATTACTTTGCAAAAATATTAAAAAAAATATTTTGTTTATATGCACATTAGATAATATTACATGGATTGGCAAAATCTTTTATTCATCAAATGAAATTGATAGCATCCTGATTGAAAACAATTTTTCTTAAGCTTCAAGGTCATATACTACAGTTGGACAAGCAATAGAGTGGAGTATGTTACAAAGAGCCTTGCCTTGTAATGTTTCATTTTCCTCAGCCACCCATAAGTAGAATGGATTTGCATTGAGATATTGAAAGGTAATCCGTATATAACCATGATTATATTGATTTTGCATTAAAAATGGCTTTGAGTGAATCAAGTCTGAAGGTCTTCACAAAGATCATCTTTCTTTGAACATTGTGAACAAGCAGTACAGAATCACAAAGAAAGAACTGTACCAAATAACAGAAACTATATCACTTGACGACTACCAACAGCAGCAACAACTGAAATGGATAGAACATGTAACTCAAAGAAAAAATACTGACAGAATCAAGATGTTGATATTTGACACTACTTCAGATAAAAGGTTAGTAAGAAAACCCCCATCAATACAGGAAAGTGCAATAACAGCTAGTGTACTTGAGAAACCTATTTTCCTGAAAAATTGTTTGAAGAGAAAGATTCTATAAATTTCATCTGACAGTAGTACTGGTTGGTCATTCAATGAATTCCAAATGTTTCCTTAAAAGGAAATTACCATTACAAATACATATTTCATCTTATCTAAAAATGTATTTTTTTATATTGAACAAAAGTGTTTAAAAATGCTGATCAATGTTTATTTTCTTAAGTTAATGTAGTACCCATTTTCTTAAGGCTTATAAACAACATTCTATAGTTGACTGATTACACAAGAGTAAATTTTAAAAACACTTATAACATTTCACTTCCCCCGCCACCAGCAGACAGTATTTATTGTGATATTGAAAGTTATCTCAGATCTAATCTTGATTGTCCTCATTTTCAATTCTCATAATAAATCCATTTTCCATCTTATTTAAAAACTAGGAATTTTTGCAACATGCTGATACCTGTTGAAATCCTCACAGTATTTAGTATTGTTGAAGTTATCATTAACATTTCTAGTCAAGTTTTACAAACATTTATGTTTTGTTCAATTTCACAAACCAATTGATGAAATTTGAATAAACTGATTTGTTTGGAAAAATACTTTGACAAAAACCCTTCTTTACAGTTTAATAATTTCATTAATTTAGTTTTATAGAACTTCATGGTAAATTATACTTTTTAAGAATTTTTTTTTTTTCCTTTTCACTCTTAAGCATGCAACATACAACTGGCCACTGGTATATATTTCTTTCTGGAGCCAAATTGCAACTTTTTGAAATGGCCTTGTGATTTTTTTTATACTTATCACAAATGCAGGGCAAACTGGATCTTTGTATATAAAAACTTAAAGAACAGATGTGCAAAAAAACAATATTGCATTTTTATTAAATAAGTATTTATTTTAATCATTAAATTCTTTTTAAAATAGTGGGAGTTTTTTGTATGTTAAATAATAAAACAATTTTAAAAAAAAAATTAATGAAAATTTATTTTACTAAGCCACGCACCCTAGTAAATTTGATCGGTCAAGTTATGGCTATTTTAGAGGGGTTGACTGATGGACAGCTGGATGGACTAACAGAAGTCACAGAATTTTATATGTAGATGTAATTTATACATATTAAACAAGATGAGAAAGACATGTGTTTAAAGGCTGAGTGATGTTTATTTCCTTAAGTTAATGTAGAACCCATTTTACTAGATTCAGAATTTTCCCCTAAGACTTATAAACAATGTGAAACAATAAATCTTCTAAGATTTCCTTAGTATTGTTCAAAATATGGTGCTGGGAACTTTTGCATGAATCTACTACCTGAGTCAGTCCTTACCAAATGTCTTGTGAGACATATCCCCACGCTGAAGAGAGGACATAATTTCCATACCAGCAGGTGACTGGTACCATTTTAGGTCCAACAGAGATCCAGGTTTTAGCATTCTTTTTCAAATAGATTTAGTTAGGAAAACCTGGGGGAAAAAAAACATCAATGTACAGAAAATTGATATTTTCAAATAAAAAAATTGTTTATGATTATTTATTTAGATTAATAACATTATCATTTGAAGCTTTTGTCTGCATTTTTCAGATAAGAAATTATCATTATTACACAGTGATCTACTTTTACTAATAGTCCTTATATTGTACTCTTTTCAGATGGCAGAACAGGGAGAGGGAAGGTTAGTAAAAAGACAAACATTGTTAAGAGTTACAAAAAATAGGAAGCAGTAGGTCAGGTCAGGCTAATAACATGTAACCCAATACAACCTGGCACATGGATGGGGGGGTGGTTGGCATCTAAACCAGTTTCCCTACTAGCTTTTCTGTTGGTGAGTGGCATAAGACAAAAAACAAGACCAATCAAGGGTCAGTGAGCTTCTTAGGAGCCAAAGGCCAAAATGAGTATATGTGTGTGTGTAGCGATCATGGCTTTCCACAACTTCCTATCCTTTATAGGAAAACAATGTTTGTCTCCTTGTACCTCCCAATCTATATTCTCCTCTACTTTAGTGCCAAAGATTGATGAACTCATGACCATAATTTGAAACTTGGTTTGTAAGTTTTTTTATTTCAGTTGTACAGGGTTTGGTATTTATCGATCCACCCACGAGGATAGAATGTGGCACAAGGCCGGTTTAATGTGGGTATCCCCGAGCCCATTGGCTTAAAAAAGAAGTTAAAGTAAAAGGTTTTTCACAGCTTGAAGTTTATTCAAAATTAAAATTTAAAAAATAACTTCTACACTACATACAAAAAAAAACTTTTTATATTTTTAAAAAAAAAAAAAAAAAAAAGATGCTTTTTGAGTCGAGAAATTCACAGCCGGAGTTTCGTGCAATAGATGTTAAACAAAATTATTTAATTCTGTTATTGTAAATAGATGCAAAAAACTTTTTAAAGTTGTTTTCTCAAAATTAACACATTTTCATTTTCAGAAGATACATAGATTTTAGTTTAAAATAAATGCATAAAAATTACTGAGGAAATTATTTCTATCAAAACACCGGTGTTAAAAACCGAATCTTGAAAATGAATGAATGATAAAAAATATAATGTCTACCAAAAATCGAAATTTTTTTTTTTTATTTTTAATCATAAAAATATCCATTAATAAATATGAAAGTTCAAGCCAAAGTGAAAATCTCGATAGATAAAAAAACTGATGCTTTAATTTCACAAGTTTAAAATTAAAAAAAGGTACCGTAAAAACTAAAAAGCCAACAAAAACTGATCACGGACAACTTTTTTTTTTTTTTTTACACCGAAAACCAACAGTTTAATTTTTTAAAAATAAAAATACATTTATTGATCAGATCGTTAATTTTTTCCTCCTCAGTTTTCTTTTGTTGAGTAAGGCACCTGAGTGAATTAATAATTGTTTATTGTTTTTTTGGTAACCACGACAAGGTAGACATATTTTTTTTGTGGTTTGCGTTTGACAAATAAAAGGTCCCGAGGATTGTTGCAATTAAATCTTAGTTTTGAAATTCAATTATTCTGTGATGAACTTACGCACTGTTTACAACATTTTTTTTTAGCACAAAGTTTCGGTCGATACGATATTCTTAATCTTCACTCTTCTTCAACGTCATAAAATGTCACGTCGTTTAAATTTTTTTTAATCTTATTTCTGTTCTCACTGTTAAGTTGTTATGAATCATATTTTTTTAGTCAGAGATGGAAAAGTAGAAGACCGTTTTAAAAACCTATAAAGAAGACGATAGTTTGATTGAAAAAATAATGTGAGAAAATTGTTCTTTATTCATCTTAAATCAGAAACAAAAAAATGACTTTAAAAAATGATAATATTTAGAAAAAATTAGATATCAAACTCAAAGCAAAGTTAGTCGTTTAATTCATTTGCAACTCATTATTCGCCCTCAAAAGTCCTAGCAGCTCGAGTGCATGTTGTAAAAGAAAAAATAAACACTATGTTAGGTGCAAAGTGATAAACTAAACAACTCTTACAGGGACATAATCATTTGGTACTTTATGTTCAAGAAAGATAAGTAAAACGTGTTTCGTTAATGAAGAACCCAGACAAAAATAACAAACCATTTGTTGTTAATGTTTCCTTGGAACCGAACGGTACTAAAGAGTTATCTTTCCCTTTTTTTTATATCATTCAACAGGTGGCGCCCTAATAAAATTACAAATTATTTCTTAATCGAAAATGTATTTTATTATTATTTTTTTAATTCACTCACATAACGAATTTTATGTATGTATGTATGTATGTATGTATGTGTGTGTGTGTGTGTGTGTGTAATTAAGGTAAATTGTCTATGAATCAACAAACCTTTTCTGTTTTAAATAGAAATAATCCTTATCTAATTTTCATTAGACAAAAGAAAATCTGTAAATTTATTTCATATGAGTTTCACTCAAGGTGATCTTTAAGGATTGCATTGGTTTCACCACAAATAAGAAAAACCATTCTAGTAAAGTAAAGTCTTTAAAACTTGAAATATTCTTAAAGTATTAGAAACAAAATGCATTGACATACAGTTTTGCTTCGACTCTCCTAAATGTTGACAATTTTATTTACAATTTTTTTTTCTTTGGTGAGTGAATAAAACAATTTTTTGAATTCTTATCAAACTATTTCAGTTTTTATTTTGAGTTCAATTAAACAGTGAATATGCAACTATGGTAGAAGTGTTTAATAAAAAGTATAATAAAGGCAGCATACACCTGAGATGATACCCACAAATGATTAAAAAAAAAAAAAATGAAAATCTAATGTATATGTTTATATTGAATTTAAATTATGTTGGAACCAGTTTGTCAATGTGTATGCTGTGAGATAATTACAAGAAGTCTGAGAGAATAGTAACCAAATTCTTTTTATTATAATAACTATCTCATGTGTTAGTTATTGTTGCATGTGGGGTCTTCATTACTTTACTTGATTTAGCAATAGCAACAATGGAAGTAAGCAACAGGGAACAACTGGAAGTCCCAGAATTCATAAAAGCGTTGACTGAGCCCTATTTGCCCTCTTCTCCACTTTTTCTTTTCAGCAGCTACTACCTAGCTCAAAGGACGAGTCACAACCTTTGTTGCAGAAGTCATGTGGCCTGTTCTGGCAGCTTCACCTGAGATTTCCCATTCCTTGTGGGAACAAGCAGAGAAATCTCCCTTCGAGACACCTACCCAAAGGAGAAACTATTCACAACCCTTGCTACAGAAGACACGAACCAATCCTAGGAGTTTGACACTCAGATTTCTCATTCTTCATGGGAACAAGTAATTCTCTCTCTATGAAACATCTATTCAAGGGAAAAATTTTGTCAACTGGGAAACACAACCTTGTTTCCTGCAAATATTTTGCACTCTCTCTCTCTCAATCACAAATAAAAGCTGTTAACTCTTTTGAGTTCTCTGGGACATATGTATCCACAGATATTTCCAACACATCCTGTGGGACATAATTATCCCCAAAACGCATTGATATGGGATAAAGCAGACATAGTGTCCCATTGTTATAATTATAATTATATATTCAATAATATTATTTTTCTAAGTCAAAGTCATTTAGATATGTCTACTGAAACAAACAATATTTTTTGCTATACAAAGGGGAGCTGAAATGCTTTTGACCTGATCTTACTGATTTTTCAAAATCTGATCAAACATCAGAATTTTAAAAAAATATTCCTTCTTATTTGGGTTGTGAACTTTTCAGCACCCCCTCATATATATTAAACTAATATTGGATAATTGAATGACAAGATGGGGATCCTTCTGAGTATTACATTTCATTCCCAGAAAGACCGATTCTATTGATAAACCCATAATTTGTCTGAAGAAATTTCTTTTAAATATTCCATTTTGTCATTAGATTACCCAATATATATATATATATATATATATATTTATATATATGTGTGTGTGTGTGTGTGTGACAAAAATATAGTTTTAAGGTATGCTATATTTATAGGTAAAAGTGCTCAATATCAGGGATAGAGCATGTGCAAATATAAGAGAGGACATTGAATCCAATGCCAAGTGGTTCATCTGTTTCATTTTTTAATGCAATCTTCAAGCATGAAAAAATTTGGGTTAAACCAGGTAGGTAAACTGATCCTAGATTTTTTAAGTATGGATTTTATTAAAGTTGGTGATATAATAAAGTGTGTGTTGGCTTGTGTTTATTGATGACATTACAAAGAAAATACTTAGAAGGAATCTGGATAAATATTTTCCCATCAATAAGCGCACACCAAACAAACTTTATTAAATCACCAACTTTTATAAAATCCATACTTGAAGAATCTAAGATCAGTCTACCTACAACCACAACCGAATTCTGTCACTCCTACAAAAAACATTCCCCAGTCAACATATGGACACACAAATACACACACCCACATCAACCAAATCCTGCATAGATCAACTAGAATTATGATTCACAAGCACAAGAATTATACACATGAACACAATATGAGAAGACAAATATATCTTCAATCTACTTAACCAATGAAAAATAAACAATGCAAAAATAAAAAATACCTAATTTTCTTTTCTCCTCTATATTTAATTTCTGATAAAGCTTAAACGTGAAACACGTTAAATTTATAAACATTTCCTATTTGTTCTTTATCTTATATATATATATATATATATATATATATATATATATATACAGGTAATAATCTGTTGGTATATAATCCAAGTGAATCCTAATAATATAAAATATTAAAACTGATCCTCAAAGAGAGCCCAATGTATTTATTCTAACAGAGCATAAAAATTACATACAATAGGAATTTAAAATTACCTCGTAGTTATGACCATTTCACCTTACAAGTTAAGATTTACTTGCAAGGATTTTCGAACTGATTGAGGTAATAAGATAAAATAAAATATTTTAAAATTTGCTTCAGGCCTGGTTTCATTTTATTAAGGGAATTATTATTTAGTCATTCCCCTCTACCATAAATAAAAATGACAGTAATTAAGCATTTGATATTTTATAAGTACACAATAATTCATTTTGAGATTTTGACATTAGTGTTCCAAAATGTGGATAAAAAGCATTAATATAGTAATGTTTGGTAAGTAAACTTTAAAAATATATATAAAATAAGATTTGGTAAAATGAATATACAGATTCAAATTACAGTAGAGACATTATTAGAATATATTTTGTTAATTAATCTATCTCAGACAAAATAAAACTATTTATTGAAAATTATTATTAATCAAAGACAATATCTCTACTGAGTGGATACCAGCTTAAAATATAATTAGTTTAATTTATAAAGAAAATTTACACAGCATTTAAAACATATACAAGTATTAAACTGTAAAATTTCAACTTTTAGGCATTTTTATAGTTATTGGAAATTTGGTGCTACTATAGCGTGAGGTCTACCTCTACTAGGTGCAGCACAGAGGTCTATCGTGCCCCTCGTCTCACGATGCTGTGGTAGACCTCATGCAGAGTAGCACCGGTAATCTCTATCTATAAAAGGCAGGATGTGTGTGTGTGTGTGTGTGTGTAATGAATGCATAGCTGCAATTTGACGGATTTGCACCAAAATTTACATGCACATGCTCGAAGTTAGCGGGAAGGCCAAGACTGACTTTGCATTTCCCAACTCCCATCGATAGTGGAAGTAATTGATTTTTTCATGCTTCTACGGCAGTTTTCATGTAGTTTGCGGCCCTTTTCTACTGGCCAGAGTGAGAGCCAATAGCTGGCTGCCATGAATAGGCAGGAAGATTCTATTGACCAGCGTGAGAGCCAACAGCTGACTGACACGAATGTTAACTCGCATGTAAAAAAATCGATAGCTGCATTTATCACAAGTGGGAAAAATTTAAATCTGCATGGCACTTTACTCCAATTGGCTCATTTGCTTGCTTAAACTCAACGTTGATTCTGATTCCGCAGAACTGGGTTGGGTGTGAAAAAGTATTTGTTGTCAACATTCTTTTTCATTCGGTTTTCCAGTTACGAGTCCTTTTTAAAGCTGACTGTTTTGTGTTCCTTTTGTTTAGTCCTTTTTCATAACAGATTTAATGTTTAGTATAGAGGTTAGAAAAAATTTTCAGTGTGAGATAGGCAAAAGTAAGGCATGTAGCAACATCAGCACGGCAAAGGGCACTCCTTTAAAGGCAAGGAAGGGCAAAAATATTTTAAGTCAAGTGATAGCGATTGATGTAAGAGTTGTACGATTTTTGAATCAAGCACGGGCAATGCTGCTAGTTTCATATATTCTTCAATTAATACACTTTCAAATAGAATTTAACATATTCCTATTAAATATTTGCGTGGATACGCCAGTCTACTATTCAGTCCATGCTTTTAAATAGGAAACAACGTATCAAGTAGTGAGACGAAGTCAAAACCAAAATAAATAAATAAATAAATAATAATATAATAATTTAATAACCATTCCTTGATTCTCTAGTCTGTTTCTGGTGGCATGAAAAACTTTCTCTTTCAAAGAAGAAACTCGACTTTAAACATTTCTTTGTAAAACCATATCAACAATTCGTAAAATCTTATTTTACTGCTCGTGTATGTGTCGAATTTTGACATGGAAAAAAAACTTTACCAAGAAGCTCAACCTTCCACGATCTCTAAAACTGCCTAATTGCACCTCACTTGGGTATTTACTCCCGCTTCTGGAGTGGGATGCGACACAAGGTCAACTATTTAACGTGGGTAACCTGAGCGCGTACACTCGAGTCATTGGTCAATTTTTACTTAGGCCCCCGACTGTCGCGGGATCTGGCATAAAGCTTGTCTTAGGGGCACCTCGGCGTGGTGTAATGGTTAGAAAGCTTGTCTTGCTAGATCAATGACAACTGAGTAGTGAGTTCGATCCTCATCTAGATACCACATCTAAGCCGGGCTTAGAAAATCACCTGGGCACCTCGGCGTGGTGTATCTTCATGACATCGATAATTTTAGAGAGCGTTTTTTCCTGTATGACACACATTAATTTGGAAAATCTTGCAAAAATAAAAATAATTGTCGGATTTTAGTGAAACTTTCAGAAACTATTCACAAATGATGGAACTTATTATAAATATATATTTTTTAGTAAAGTCATGGCAGAATTTTTTTTTTTCATATGTATTACCCCCTCTAACTAATTGTACGAAAACTCTATATAATTTCAATTTTGAGGAGATTAATGATTATATTAGTTAAAAGCATAAGGCTTTGAGGAAACCAAATTTTTTTTTTTTTTAGTTGGGCCCTTCTACCGGAAAATCGTCTCTGAAGTGTAACATACAAAACTCAATAAAACAAAAATATTATTTAATTTGAAAAGCTTTTAATAACTTTTATTTATTTCAATGAACATGGACAATATTGTCTGAAAGCAAAAAGATATTTCGATGAAAAATGAATTTTTAAAACAATTACCTACAATTATTTTTTATTTCTGTAACCATTATTTTTACATTATGTTGTTAAGTTAATTCTTCTAAAATTATGGAAAATCTTGTAGAACTTAACGAATGTTGTTTTTAAGTAGATATATATTTACAGATTATAATTGCCAAAGAAAGCTTATTACAAACTAACGAGCCCTCGTATATTAAAAAAATTAATTTGTGTCAATAATGTGTTTACCAATGAAATCTACGGAAGACCGGTAGTTTAGTGCGTGCAATAAAAATAACGCCACGTGAATTGAGTTTCTGTCTAGTATTTAAGGGTTGTTCTTTGTTGTATACGGCCCCTTAATTTAGCAAACTGTTCCTGCTGAAACACGTGTGCATCATTTTATTTATCCTTATTATTAAGTTAAAAAAATTGAACAAGACGACGAAGTGCCCGCAGCCACCATTTCAGTCATTTACACTGGCCAATTTTACTTTTAAATGAAACATATTGTTTGCTTTCAGAAAATACCTAGTTTCATGGGGTTCAGATAAACTTTCCTGATATTTTTTCAGATAAGTCATTTTATATATATATATATATATATATATATAAAAATATATATAAATATATGTTCAATTTGAGTAGAATATTCTGTAACCAAAACGTATTTTAATATAAATATAAATTTTAAATATATATAAATAAATAAATATATTTATATATATATATATATATATATATATATTTTATATTATTTATAATACTCTAAAATTTACATTGAAATATTTTGTAAAAATAAAATATCTATAAGAACACCGGATATAAATATAAATATATATATATATATATATATATATATATATATATATATATATATATATATATATATAAATATAAAAAATAAAAATCCATTTATTTTTTCCAAAATTATAGGCTGTGACAAAATGACTTTTACTATGTTTGATTATTTTTACTGGAGATAGAAATTTTTTTACAATAGCAAATCTGAATTGACTTTTAGGGTCTATATGGGCCTCAAACAGCAGTGCAGCACTTGTATCTTAATTTTTTTAATAGTATTTATAATTTCTCCAGATACCATCAACAAACTTATGGTACAGTACTTAAAAAAAAAATTATAATGGCGAAAGTTTTTTTTTTACTTTTAAATATTACAAATTACTACTTAAAATGGGTCCGCTTAAAAAATGATATGTCCATTCTGTCCTTCCGTATGAGAACTGGAATCTCACGTCAGCTGTCAATAATTTATTTTAAATAAACTTCACATTTTCTAAATTTCTTCGAATAAATTTTGAAATACGTATAATTAATTTTTAAACGAATTTTAAACGAAGAATTTAACTTATTTTTTAAATTTTTTAAAAATATGGCTGATATCGAGCTTTTGGTCGTTATTTTGTAAACAAGATTTTTAACTAAAATTTCGGACATGCTAAGAATGAGTAAAAAAATTCAAAAATTACTCAAAAAATACTTTAGTGCTTCTTCTCAATAATGAAATATACATTTGTCATGAAAAAAAATTTTTTTCGTTAATTTTCAGACCGTTCTTGTCATGCTATCGATTTTCATGAAGAACGGTTAGTAGCAAGCTTGTCTTGCTAGATCAGTTACGACTAAAAAGTGAGTTCGATCCTCACTAGATGCCCCATACTTTCGGCCTTGTGCCACATCTAAGTTACGCTTGAAAATCAATATAAAGCTTGTCATGACAGCGGAACAGACACTGGATTCTGGAGCCTCTGGACAGCGACCTGTTTATTAAAACAAGGGAAACAATCTTAAATACAAAAGTTAAAATGCCTTCCCTTACTTCAAGTCACAAATGAGTTATCTTCTCTTGAATTCTCGGCATTACACCAGGTGGAGCAGTAGAAGAAGTTTTAAACACATGGCGATCGTCTTCGTTCAATGACATTGATTTCTTTTTTCTTTAGATAAGTAATTACCAGCAACAGCGATGTCTCAAACTCTTACCACCTTTTTGTCCAGAACTTTTATTGTTAACCAAGAAAAATGTTTATTACCGAACAAAGGTAATGTCTTTTAATTGTCCGTGCAATTTAATTGTGTTAACGAAGGTCATGTTTCAGTTTTCAATTGGTTGTCTATAAATTTGTGACGTGTGTGTTGATTTTATATTGTTGTCCTTCTTCCATATTCATTTATCATTAAATCAAGTTGAATTAATCCCAAGATAATAAACGTTGCAATTTTTTTGTCGTTTTCGGTTTGTGGGTACTTCGTTAAATTCTGTACAACAAAAACGAAACAAAATGTGTGGTCACAAAGTCCTTGTGCAAAATTTATTTTGTCTTCCGTGTTTTGTTTTATTTATAAAACAAAACACCAGCGAAGTAAATGTCCCTATTTTAGTTGCTCAAATAAATGGCACGCCAACCTTATTTATTTATTTTTCTTCTCTTTTTAAAAAAATTATTCACTTTGAAAACTTTTTACAAAAGAGTTTTGTAAACAAACCGGAAATAAAAAAACAGCTTCACACTAGTTTTTTAAAATTATGGTTTTTTTTTTTAAGCTAAAATGTTTCAATGATCTTTGATTAATAATTTTTTTTATAAACTCTATGTAGGAAATCTCTTTTGTGAAGATGTTTTTTTTTTTTTATTACCAGAACATTTTTCAGTTTAACCATTTTTTAGGCATGTCACATTTCATTTTTTGTTGAAAATTGAGTAAAATTGCAGATAAATGTCCCAATGACAAATTAGAAAAAAATTCCTGGTGTAAAATCGCCCGATTATTTAAAAAATCGTATTAAAAATTGGCAAAAAAAACCCTACTGTTTAGAAGATATTGACCATGTTAGTTGGGTCCCGGTTACTGAGGCATTATCGGTGCGTCCTAGTAAAAATGATGAGTAAACAATAAACATTCGCGGAGTAATCGTGGGTAACCGGGACCCAAATAAGATTGTCAATATTTGCTAAACGGTAGATTTCACCCCAATGTTAATGTTGTTTTTGGAATAATCAGGATTTTTTACATGAGGAATGATACCTTTTTTTAATTTGTCACTGTTATCTGTAATGGAGGCCAGTAACCTTTTGCGAAGTAATCGAGGGTAACAAGGACCCAATTATTGTCTATATCTCCTAGTAGGTTTCTGTCAATTTTTAATGCGCTTTTTGGAATAATCAGACGATTTTACACAGGAATGATATTTCTCTTTTTTATATGTCATTTTATTTTACGCTTCCTTGTTTGTTGCAGAACAAGTGCAGTTCAGTATTTTAGATTAGAAAGTTCAGATTACACTTGCTTGAATAATTTTTTTAATTAAAGAACAAATGTTAATAAGCCAAACAACGAAAATGTGATATCCTGTTTTCTTTGTTGTGGGTATCGCTCAATTCAGCGTTAAACTATTTCTCTATCACACAGACACATCGATCTGGATTTAGATCCACACGTAAATTTCTCGATTTAAATTCATATTATGAACTTAACATTTTGGTTTCTTTGTTTCCTTCTTTATTCTATCTTTCATTTACTGTCGTTTTAACTGCTCCCAACGATTTCTGCATAACAAAAACTAAATTATCTCCCAAAGATTCGTTTTTTTAAACATTAGAAGAAAAATTAAAGGGAGATAAATCAGTGTTTACAATACCAACACCACCTAAAAAGAGAAGCAATCACCATTTTCCTTCCTAAATAAACACATTAATAAATAAATTTATTCAATGGCTGAAATAAAAATAGAAAATTTTATTTAAATTACTTTGATTTCAGCACGTTTTTAAAACGGATGGAGAATTGTACATTACTTTATTTTTTAAACATTTATAAACAATATGATGTACGTCTTCTTTTTCTATATGCCGTGTCCCTTCAGGACGTGGCTGATCATGACTCTTCACAACCTCCTATCCAGTGCATTTCTTAGTAATATTTGTCTTTTACCATCATCCCCACTGTTGTGGGGCCTGAATGTTGATGTTAGACGAACCCTACAAATATTAAAATTGAAGAAGTGGCTCAGGCCAGGTTAAGGATAACAAGAACAGAGTTTAGATAAAATATGTCAAAACTTATTAACCAGCATAAAATGTCTCTAAAACAATGTACAGAATTAATAAACTCAAGCAAACTGTTCGAGGTTAAATGAAGAGTCCGTTTGCAGAAACAAAAATAAGAGAGTAGCATGTCGCTACGGTCACACTCCCCTGTTTCACCATCCATTCACATCAGCTGGTCAGATGACCCACTGCCACCTTAAATTGTTTGAACTTTGGAACAGGCTACCAAATCACAAAGTGAAACTGTTAACTTAGGTACCTCCATGAGATCGCTAAAAAAAGAGCATAGCATGATGAAAAAGACACCAAACTTGACGAAAACAAAATTTTATCGTCTAAATGTTTGTTACTATTAAGAGGAAAGGTCAAAGTATTTTTGGGGTATTTTTTTCCATTTTTTAATCGTTCCTAGCACGTCCGAAATTTTCGTTAAATATCTAGTTTTTTTTTGAGTCAGCAAAATTGACCATTTTTTTTCCATTTTAAAAAAAACTGGAAATCTGACTTTGAAATTTTTTTAAATATCAATTATCATTTTTTCAAAACTTATTTTAAGAAAATCAGAAATTATAATGTTTATTTAAAATATTTTGAACCAAACTTAGCTTTTGTGCCAAAAAGATGTAATTTGAAAATAAAACAAAGCAGGTAATAAACTTTCGCGTCTCTTGACATGTGATGAATGATATATTTACGAATTCCATGAGGCTAATTTGTTCTACGGAAGGAGAAAAGTGAAATAATTTACATTTATTATTTACAAATATTTATTTATTACAAATTATTTACCCCGTTATTTTTAACGAAAACTTTCAGCGGTCTAATTTTTTTTTTTTTTTGTACTTAGCTTTCACCTTTACGGTTATGATGCTTTATGGGAAATATATTGTAAAGAAATTAAAATAAAACTGTTAAGAGTGACATTAAATTTCATATTTCTTAAGAAAGGTATCTAATTAATTTATAGGTACCTTTCTTATGAAATTTTATCAAATTGTACATAAAATACTATAATTTTATGTACATTTATTACATTCTACTGTTATTTGTATTTGCATTCATTTTATTATTAATTTTGATATTTCATTTATGGAAAAATGTCGTAACTGAGATTAATATAAAAATAAGATCATATAAATTTCATAAGATGATACTGATACTTGTAGGTACCCTTCTCAGTTGAAATTGAAAAATCAAATTAACTTCTCCACACGTGTTTACAAAAAGTAAAGGCCTTAACAGCGGAGAACAATGCTTAACTCAAATAACGCAAACTTAATTATATTCTGGTTGGTCTTCCGTATTTTATAATTACAGCTCAATTATAAGCACAAAATTACATTTCTTAATTACTGGGTATCTTCTGATTAGTCAAAATGATACAATTTACAATGCGCTAAAAAAGATCTATCTGATAAGGACACTTATGAAAGCCGATGCGGCTTTTTACTAATTTTATAATATTTTAACAACTTAAATGTAAAATCTATTATAATTAATGAAATAACAAATAATTGTATTAAAAATTCATTTTTCATTGAAAAAATTTTTTTTGCTTTCAGAAAATATTGTCCATATTCATAAAAACAACTAAAAAGCAAATAAAAGCATTTGAAATTAAATAATATCTTTGTTTTATTGAGTTTTGTATGTTACAATTCAGAGCTGATTTTCAGGTACTGCATATCCAATTAAAAAAAAAAAAAAAACATAATTTGCATTCCTCAAAGCCCTGTGCTTTTAATTATTGTAATCACTAAAACCGATGCGATCAATTTCTAGCGTTTTCATAAAATTAGTTATGGGGGTAATAAATATTTGAAAAAAATATTTCTACCATGACTTTCATAAAAAAAAAACATATATAATTTTCGATCATCTGTGAATAGTTCCTAAAAAGTTTCATTAACATCCGATAATTATTTCTATTTTTTGCACGATTTTTCAAATTAATGTGTCATACCAAAAAAACGTGCTAAAAATTGTCTATGTTATTTACTAGTTCGCTGATACAAATAGTAAAAAGGTTTTTTTAATCAAAATTTAGAATGTTCTAAAAAGAAGGAAAATTTTTTAAAAATAATTAAAAAAAAACTTTGGTCTTTCCTCTTAATAATAACATAAGCATTTAGACAATAAAATTTAGTTTTCGGCAAGTTTGGCGTCTTTTTCATCAAGCTATGCTCTTTTTTTAGCGATTTCGTGGAGGTACCTATGTTAACTCTTGTCCATTTGGATATCTAATGTTGACATAAGTGGAGTTACTATCAAGGAGTTCAGCTTGATCCATGATAGTTTCTGCTGTTTCTCATGAACATCTTTAGTAATATGGTCCAGGTGTCATTAGACAAGAAGGCAGTGAGTTTCCATGGGATGAATGGTGCTGGAATGCAAAAAAAAAAAAAAAAAAGACATTTGTGGAGTGTAGTATTTGTTGTTGTATATAATAACAATGATATTAGAGAGTGCAACATCTGAGGATGTATGAGTTCCCAATGCTTTTCAGACAGGTTACATGACCCAAGAGCCAAAAGAATTGCTTTCCATATGGTGCCATTAAACCTTTTTACTTGTATATTGCTCATTGGGTGGTATAGCAGGATCTTACTAGTGGCAACGCCTTTTTAGGAAAGATAATATTTCAGTTCAACATGAATAGATTGCCTAGGCTAAATAATAGCTCTAGACACCACTGTTGTTGTGTGCATAGAATGACAAAAGGGAAACACGTAATAAGTATATATTACATGTGACAGAATGCAGTGTTCTCTTGAAATCAATACTAAACCACTTCATAGGTTTCATTGCTTTGATGAGGGTTCCTTCTGGTGGGCTATAAAAGCAGGGTTTAATTTCAGCACAGACCCGGCAAGATGCACAAATCTTCTTTACATTTTCTGTGGAAAAGGGGGAAATTTCTTGTTTTGATATACTGTAGGAGCCAAGTTATTTCAATGTGGCAAAGTTTATTGTCAATATCTGCTAGTGTTCAGTTAGTAATGGTTGAACAGGCAAATGTTCAAGTAAATACATCAGGAACCACATATTTCTTGTCAGCTTGGTATATAACTGCATAGTTAAATACTGTGAGTTCCATTCCTGAATTTTATCATTTTTTATTTTTATACATCTTTCACTACTGAACGTAAAGGCCACTGATCTTTGGTCTGTGATCAAAGTGAAGTGTTGCTGTGCCAAATAGTGACCCCATTTATGCACTGCTTCAATAATGACCATTGCCTCTTTCCTTATAATATTTTAACAGACTGCCTTTTTTAATGTCCTTGATATAAACACTATCAGATGTCCTTCTTGGTTTAGGATGGCTGCAATAGCAACATCAGATGCATTGCATTCTACTTAAGGTGTAAATTTTCATCTATCAAGTGGAGCGTAGATTTCTCTATTTCTTTCTTTAGGTGGTTGAAGGTTGCCAGTGTTTTCTTTTCTATTGGGAATTTATTCATTTCTTTTAATTATTGAATTTTATCTGAAAGGAGGCATGGTGGATTAGAGGATAGCAGCTTGGATTGAGAAATTGGAGAGCCAAGTTTGAATTCCAGCTGACAGTTTATTACATTCACTTATGTGCAAAAACCATTGGGAAAGATATGAATTTATCTCTTCTCCCCTGAGCTAAGAATAAATAGCAGGACAGACTAGCAGGGTCCTATAACAGAAGGACAACTCTGAATTCAAAACCTCCAACTATGGGTTAAATAGCCTCATCAACCCACAATTGGCCAAGCATGGTGAGTATGGTTACACACTTGAAGACATGGTCAATCAAGGAAAGGTTCCTTCAAAAAGACTAAGGTGTTTTTGGATTTGGATCTGGTGTACTTTTAGCAGCCCTGGTAAAATTTTATCTGAAAAAATGTGACTCCACTTAGCATAGTAAGAAAACATTCCAAGTGCACTTTTTAAATACTAAGTTTTTGGGTGGAAGAAATTCTCTCAAAAGACAAAACCTCTTATGATCAGGTTTAATCACTCCATTCCCAATACAGTAGCCTAACACATTGGTAGAGTGTACTGATGCCACAGTTTTCAACCTGTTCAAAGTTTCCTCCAATCAATGGTCTCTAGGAATCTTTTCACATTTTCATCAGATTCCTCCTGTGTGTGTTCTGCAATTCTTATATTGTTGATGTATAAGAAAGCTCTGTGCAGATTTGTTTCTTTAACCATTCTATTCCTGGTCTTCTGAAAGGCAGCTGACCTATCTGTTACTCTGAATGGAATACTATAGAATTGAATTAAACATTTATTCATTTCAAAGGCACTGTACTTTCTGTTTAATTCTTTCAGTAGCACTTGGTGGTAAGCACTTTTATGGTCAAACATGGAGAAAACACTATACTTAATGAGGATGTTTATCCTCCTGTCTATTTTTGACAGCAACCTCTCAAAAGAGGCATAAATACTACTTTTGTGGTTTTCCTTGTCATTCACAGGACAGCTTTCCTGTGGATGAGGCTACTTGCAATAGATTTTCCAAGAAAGGACATCCTGCTTATGCGTGCAAATCAAACCTCCCCTCATGTTCAATAGTCCAAGAGGTCAGCTCTCATCTCTAACATACCACATGGATTTCTACATACTGCAACACATGTGACTTTGAATGGGAGAAAATTTAATGCCCTTCTCAATATATGTTGCACAGTTACATCAACGAAAGAATGCTGCAAAACCTCAGACTAAATGTTCACTCATGTAAGAAAGATTTTACTATGGCCCAGAGAATACCAATTCCAAAGACTATGTGGTAGTGAATTTAACCCAGGGTCTTAAAAAATCAGGTATATAATGCCACATATCTTAATGTTTTGCAAGAGCTGTGTCTTGATATAAGACTTGACCAGGATTTCCTGTGCCAACATCAAAGATCAATGTTCAAATATGGTAGACCCTTGCTAGAATTAATTGTGGATAGTGCTTGTCAATGTTGCACATTGGCCCATGCAGAACTAGAAGAGCCATACATTTTTCCAAATTTATTACTGAGCTGTAAACAGATTGTTGTCAAATCAAGAAATTTTAACAGAGAAGATGAAGCTTTTATCACAAAGAATATTATCTAATTACAATTTGAAGGCATAAGTGTATCACCTTGGCAAACTCGGGTAGCCATTGACAAAAGAAACAAATGTGCATTGATTATTCAGACGATTAATTGATATACAGAACTTGATGTTTACCTTATTTTTTCATAATCTTGAGAATTTCATTTGTCATCCACTTTTTTTTCTCCTCATTTTGTTTTCCTTTAATGATCTGGTTCACCAATGACATTAGTGTTTCTTTCAACATGTTATTGTTACATTTTGAATTTTTAGTTTCATGCAAGTTATATTTGTTTTTGACTTTGTCTATATACATCCTTTTTCAACTTGGGTCATTCAGGAGACTGTTGTATTGTAGTTTGGGCATTGCTTTGGTCTTTAATTTCTGTAATTTTACTGTGGTAGCATATGATTAGAAGGTGGTTGCTCCTGTAGTTAGCATTTGGATAAGTTTAACAATGTAAAACTGCATTTTTGAAACTTTTGTTGATAGTTATTTAATCAATCTCTTTTTTTGTATCTCTTTCTAAGTTTCTCCATATCAATAAGTGTTTTGGGTTTCCTTGAAATTGGGTGTTGGTTATTTTTTGCTTGTTTACTGTGCAAGATGGACCCTATCAAAGGGCATAAGAAATCTTGATGAGGCAAACAGCAAGCTAACCAGAGTTAGTATCTCAACAAAAACACAGTGGAGAAGGCACTGAAAAACCACTCTATTATCCCAAGAATAATCATGGCATTCTGTAATACAAGATGTGTAGGTAGCATAATGGTTATCGGCACTGAAATGGAAATTGGCATGCAGAATTCAAAACCTGGCAGAGACTGTTTTGTTCACTTTTCACTAATACTCTTTGAAAAGGTATCAGTTCACTTTCCTTTCACTATGGGTTAAATAGCATAACAGGCTGGGCTCTTGTGCCTTGGGTGTCAGTCAGTCTGCAAGGAAAACTTTAAATTCAAACACCCCTAAATAATAATGTAGATTGTGTTCTTTAGTTTTGGTAAGGCAACCAGTCTAGAAGGAAAATTCTCAATTTAGAATTGTGGAGAAAGCAATGGGAAACCACAGCACTGTCTTTCCTATGAAATCAAATAATAAAGAAAAGAGACATAATCTCATAAGTTCATATTTTAGTGGAAGTTTTTTTAATTTTTCTTTTATTTATTTATTTATTTGATGATTATGAGATATAAAACAAATCAATTGACATTTTTAAAACTTTTACGCAAAAAAAAAACTGTGTCAAAAGAATGGTTTTCTATTCAGCTGAAATGATTATATTTTAAAAGCAATTAATTTCTTAAAAATAAAAAAAAATTCTTACTTCTCAACAAGAGTGGCAAGCTTTTAATAAATTGAACACACACACACACAAAATGCACTTCTTTTTAAACTGGTGAATGAAACCTGGAAAATGAAGGTTTTAAAATTAAATTTAGATATATGTATTATTTATCTCTAAATATTAAAAAAAAAAAACATGATTTAATTGTAAGAACAAATTTTATTTTATAAAACAAGTAATTTAAGATTTTTTAAATTTTTTTTTGGTTAAAAATTTAACTGGATCATTAAGAAACAATGTTTATTTTTCATGATTTCTGTTTATCATGAACGAAATTGAAAATATAGGAGAAGTTTGAAACAATTTTTAAATTGATGTATAAGTTACTCTGAGAATGAAAATTAATTAATAAGAACAGTTTCATGTAAAATTATTCAATGTGATTTAACCAATATGTTTAAATAAAAATAAAGTTGGGATTTTTTGTAATAAAAATTACAGTAAAATTAACCAATTTGTTTTTGTATTTATTAATTTTTTAAAACTAATATATCAGCCTTTTTAATTTATTTCTTGAACATTTTAATGGCTTTTTTATTATGGTACTAACAACTAGAAAAACTTCTTAAAAATCACAATTTAGATTTCGAGATGATTTAAAATTTTTGGGGGATCCTCAAAGTTATTTTTTAGGGCAGTTCCAGGGCAATGTTGGAAAAAAGTTAATCTTGAATCCTGGTTTCAATATGTTGTATTATTCATTATTGTGGGATGTGGAAATCCCCTTAATTATAGATGCCAATACAGAAACACAAACCAATTTCATCTCTGTGATTTGTTTATATTAAAATAATATTTCTATTTTAAAATGGAGTCAATTCAGGAGATGCATAGAGCATTATTTTTAATTCATGTATCCATTTTTTGAAAGCTAAAAAAATGAAATATTTGAGTATGTCTAAAGATTTTTCAAATAAATCTATTAAGTCTTAGCACTATTCAGTTCTTACCCACTGAATACTTTTTGCTATTTCTCCCTGTAATTTCAAATTGTACCCACTATGTTTGTAATTAAGCAGGGCTGGATTTAAGTCTTAAGAGGTTCCTGGGCTAATAGAATTTGGCAACACCTTCATTGGTGTTTTGGTGATATATTTTTAGATGATGCTTTTTTATGAAAACTGTGAAATACTTCAAATAAAATCTTTAATGATTTTGGAGTCTTCAAAATCCACTCCAACTAGAAGGGCCCAAATACTGTAAATTGTTTCAAATTAGTTCAAAGGAGCCCCATTAAATCTTAAAATAATTCTCCTTTGTTATTATATCATTATTTATTTATTTATTTATTTTTTTTTTTTTTAGCTTTATCAGGGGGGCCCAAGACAAGTCTTGGGGCCTCTGTGTTGCAGCCCATACTAGCCCATAAGTTAATCTGGCATGGACTGTGAACTTGTATCAGTATATGAAAAAATGTTGAACTGTAATATTTATAGTGATTTCATTTATTTATTTTTTTTTTTTTTTACTTTGTCTTTCAGTTTTGTTGTACACTCCTGTAGCCACATTGAAGAATTTTTCTCCACCTCCAGATTACAGTGGTATGTTCTTTCATGTTTTTTTAAGATACTGCATCTCATTTCACAGGAATTCACATATAGCTTGTGTGTGTGTGTGTGTGTGTGTGTGTATATATATATATATATATATATATAATGTACATACATACATACATATATATATATATATATATATATATATATACGTATATTGTGTATTTAGGCAGCAATGATTCATTTATGCATGTTTCATTAAAAAATGAAAAACAAGGTACTACGAATAAGCTTTAAATTTAATTTTTCATGTGTTTCAACAAGTGTTTTCTTTTTTGGACTCAGAATGTGTAAAACTGTCCAAATGTTTTAATGTTCTAAGTGCTTGGAATTATAGAACGTTTGGACAGTTTCTACGCACTTTGTGTACAAAATAGAAAACACTTGTTCAAATACAAGAAAGATTAAATAAAAAGCTTAATCATAGTACCTTGTTGGTCGTTTTTAATCACTGACAAAGTGCATCTGTTAATTTTGTGTGTGCGTGTTTTCTTGTGTGCAAATGAGATTTCTAGCGTGTGTAAAAATTGTCCAAATGATTGTTTGTTCCAAGCATTTTCGGTTAATAGCCATTTTCAAAGATTTTGGTTGCATTATTGTAAAGTGTATGTAAGTTGCTGAAAAGTTGGCTTATTTTTAATTCTCAAATACATTGTAGCTGTAGTGAGTGTGAAATAATAACTCCCTTCACCCACTCCTTTCAAATTGGGAAGACTGAGGAAGAAGAAGAAAAGAAATTCATGCACCTATGGGAAATTGTTTTTGAATCAATGAAAACTTTGCTGCTTTCACAGAAATTAGCCGGTCAGCAGAGAAGAACAGAAAGTAGTGAGCCTACACAAAATTCTTTTTGATATAAAATTAGGAGAAAAATTAAATCATGTAAAAGATTTCTTTTCAGTTTCTCACAACCAGTGTTGAAGTTCTCACTAGTGTAAAATTACTTGCCAGTTATATTATCGGTCTCTATCCAGCATGCAGCACTTCAAAGAATTTTCTCTCAACAATCCAAGAAAGCTCAGTATTTCAAACTATCTCTCTTCCTCTACTTTTGAATGTATGCAAAACATATATCCCTGAGGTAAGCAACAAAATCTCTTACCTTTGTGGTAAACATTTTTGAATATTGTGTCAGATCATTTAATCTGTTGTATGAACGTTTCCACTTCATGAAAATACGTTAAAACTATGGACTTTAAGAATTCTGATTTATTTTCCTGAAATGAGCTACTGGCACAACATCAAGTGTGTAAATTTGCAAATAAATTTCTTATCTTGTTTTGTTAAAATTACCCATGTGTTACTTCATCATTATCATCTTTTATTAAACTTCTTGGTGTAGGTAAATATAATGTTGATTTTAGCCATGCCATTATATAGCTATGTTTGTAGTTGATGTTGCTGAGAGTCTTTTTGGTGTGGGCTTCCATTATGTACTAGCTGTATTCTGGAATTAAAAATATGTCTACTTTTCAGCAACTTGCACACTATTTACAGATTTAGTAGTGGTAATAATAGTAGTAGGGATCCATTTATCTTGTGAAATAATGATAGCACTGTTTAGTCAAAATTCAGTCCCTTTTTTCTTTTTTTTTTTCATACACATCTAGAGTGGCTTAACAGTCCACTCTTTGCATGGCACTCTCTTCTGCAGGTATAACGCATTAAGCTGAAACATGGAATGACAGTCTGAAATTGCTCTCTCTGCTTACAATAGCACACCCAGATATCTTGAAGATGGCCAAAGGAATAACACAAAGTAGTCAGGAATAGAAAATCATTTGAACAATTTCTACATGCACTAAGTTCAAAAATGAATCTCTTGTACACATGCAAGAAAAATGCAGTAAAAAATTTTATCAGTCATTTTTAATGAAACATGTATTAGATAGGGATTGCTGCCCAAATACACAACTAATGTATATACTATTTTTTTTTTTTTTTTTTTTTTTCAGAATCACCCCAAGCAAGGCAGTAATGCCACTAAAACACAAGGGGTTACAGGGTGTGGAAGAATTAGGAACAGAAGCATTAATGATAAGCAGAAAGGGAAGAGAGTAATCAGGTGGACAGTAGATAGCGATTGACACTGCATTTAAATATTTGCAGATTAAAGTTGGCTGGAAAGCATGGAAGGGAGTTCCACAAGTGAGAAGTGTGATAGAAGAAACTGTTAGCATAAAAATTATGGCTACATTTAACCAGCTCAACTGTAAATTGATGAAATCTTGATGCCAGTCTAATGCTGTGCTTAAATTAAAAAACTCTAGGTACCACAGCGAAGAGCTCATTCAAACAATTAGCATGAAAGTATTTATGAAAAAGACATAGAAAGGCAACCTTATAGCATGACTTACAGAAGGTGACTGGAGCTGAGCTGCCAGATCAGGACCAATAATATTGCAGATTTTTCTTTGGAGCTCAAGGTAAATAGCAGGGGCACCAGACCATATGTGGCAGCAATATTCTAAGCATAGTTTATCAAGATTGATACTAAATAATACTGAAGCATTTGAGGATTGTGTTATTGCAGCATTAAAAAGTGAAATGGAAATTAAAAATATATTATGAAATGTAGTACACAAACTATCAGTTACCCTGGAAGAAATAAAAGTAAAAGCAGAATGAGAGATGTTTATTTCAAAAATAAAAAAATAAAAAAAGATTAAAAAATAAGAAAGATGATTTTTAGAACACAATCCAGACTTGAATGCTTACTAGCTATGTGATGGAGTACTGATGTTTGCACATAGAGTAGTAATTCCTATCATATTACAAAAGCAGATATTAAATGAATTTCATAGTGGACATGTGGGAATTCTCTTATGAGAAGCTATGTTATGTATACTGGACCAAAATGGATCAAGACATTGAAAAATTAGTAAAAGCCTGCAAAGGTTGTGCTCTGGCAGCAAAATCACTTACCACAAAATTACAATCTTGGCTAAAGACAGATATTCCATGGTCAAGACTGCATATAGATTTTGCAGGCCCAATAAACAGATCACATTATTTTGTGGCTGTGGATATCTGTACTAAATGGCCTGAAATTTGTAAGTGCAAAAAACAACTTCTATGGTTACAGTGAATTTTTTACTCAAACTGTTTGCGAGATATGACATTCTGGATGCCATAGTCTCAGATAACGCTATACAATTCACTGTTTACAAATTGAAAGAATTTTGTAAAATGTTCTTAGTTGAAAATATTACTACCCTGCTGTATCACCCAAGGTCAAACAGACAAGTTGAATGTCTTGTGGGTACTTAAAAGCTCTCTTAAGAGCTTTTAAAAAAGCAAGTAATGAAAAAGTGAGAGAAGAAGCACTACAAAAATTCTTTAATATACTGGATAACGCTGAATCCCAATACACTGGCAGAATTGATGTTCATGAGAAAAATTAAAATCGGTGTTCCACAAGTTGTTACCAGGTCAAAAAAAAGCATAAGAACAGATAACAAAAAGGACAAAAAATTTTCAAAATTGGTGAAAAAGTATTTTTCAGAATATATAAAAACTGAAAAGAACTGTAGGAAGATGGTGTAATATGGTCACGAATTGGAAAAAATGATATATGTGGTAAAAGGCAAAATTGGGAACACTTTAAAAAGCATTGGAATTATTTAAAGAAAAGGTTTACCAAAGAAAGGCCTGCAAGAAAGGAACAACCTATGCAAGTACTGTATGAGATTTTTGATGTACAAACACCCAAAGAATTCACTGAACGTACAAGTATGATTATCAGAAAAAGCAAATGTATGGAAAAACTAGAGGTTGACCCAAAACAATAGAAATACAAAGTTCATTACATTGGCGAACTTGCCAGAAAGAGGAGGGGGGTGAATACTAAGAAATAAAATAAAAATAAAATTTACTAGTGGGGGAAAAAAAATCTCAAAAGTGTGGGTGTTGTTGAGTAAGGATAGTAATGTAGTAGTAATTACATTGGTTAATGTTCTAGTAATTTAATTTTTTTTTTTTTTTTTTTTTTTTGATGACTTTCACCTGGTGTTGAAGACAGTGAACTAACTCTTAATACAGAATAGATGGGTTTTATATCTTAACATGATGCTAAACTCCAGGAGAGCAACTCACTATGCCTTCTTGGTCTCCCATTTTTCACTGACATGAAGTGGGACGCTTATATTGAATCAATTACTGAGTCTGCTGCTAGGAAAGTCGGTTCATTATGCCAAGCTTGGCAATTTTTCTCGTCAGAATTTATCTTGCACATTTATAAGTCTACCGTTCATTTGTGCATCAAATATTGGTCTGGTGCTGCTGCACTATATCTAGAGATTTTTGACAAAATTTAAAAAAGAATCTATAATGTTATCGGTCCTGATCTGGTATCTTGGCTTCAATAACTTTCCTACCACTGTAATATACCTATAAATATTTCCATGGGAATTTTTCTGATGAGCTTTTCTCTTTGGTACCCCAACTTTAGGAATTTAAATGCAGTACTAGATTGGCAGTTAGGTCTCATAATTTCACTCTTGAAATTGCTAGTCGTAACTGAAAGTTTTATCTAGTTTCTTCTGCACTTCTCACTTGTGGAACTCTCTTCTTGCTTTCCTGTCGACTAGAATCTTCAAAAATTTAAATGCAATGTGAATCCTCATCGTATGTCTTCTTGAATCCTGTTTTTTTTTTTTTTTTTTTTGTTCTCTCTGTTTCTTTCACTTTCAGTAAACTCTTGCATCCTAGTGGCTTTTATTGCCTTGCTTGTCCTCTCCATCACACATTAGCTTTTTAGATCTGAGGAAGTCTGTTGGCTGAAATGGTCCAAATGTCTGCAGATTTGAAGGGTGCTGGTTATAAATACGATTTGCCCTGGAGTTGAATATCTTGAAAAGACAAGATGAGGCAGTTTTAAAATGCAACTGGAATAAAGCTTTATTTCATTGGGTTTACAAGCAGTACTTTTTAACCATTTAACGTTTATATTCTGACAGTGATTATCCTGTGGTTGGTACAGATGTGGT